GTGGGCGGGGGGGGGCAGAATTTAAACACCCCGGAGGCTGCACTGCAGCTGTCCTGCCAAAAGGGCCCGCCGGAGGGGCCCACGCTTCGGACATTTCCTTCAGCCTGCCCGTGAGAGGCGTGGAGGGGCACGCGAGGGCTTCGGCACCCGAGCCTCCTGGCCAGTTGACCTTCTTCCAGGGCCAGGTGGAGACTTTGCTGAAAGGGAGGTGCAGGAAGCACACCTGACTTTGGGGCGGGGGGGGGGGGGGGTTGTAGGGGGGGGGGGGGGCGGCTTGTTGGTGGTCCTTGTGTCGAGGAGCCTTCCTGGAGCCAGTGGCACAGTATGGAAGGCCGTGGGGAAACACCCCCCCCCCGAGGTGGGTTGCCCCGCCTCTCCCAAGCCTGCCTTGACTTGACATGTCCTGCCACGTCCCACCATCCTCTGCTGGACGGTGTCCCCCGGAATGGCTTCTGATTGGTTGATTCCTAAACGGGGGTCCTCACCCCGCCCACAGTGCCTTCACAGTCAGTTTCCTTTTCAGCCTCGGGCATTTGCACCGGTGGAAGGAATTCTACTTTTCTGTTCTTGCCCCCCCCCCCTCTCAAAAATGAGATGACAACATTGTTTGACTCCTAATATTTTAATGGATTTACTTGAGAACCTTTTTGGAAGAGTAACAAAATGACTGTTAATAGTTTGTGTGTGGGTTTGTTTTTGTTAAAAGGTTGTAAATGCAAGTGGGTGTAGTTTGGATTTTGGTAGTTAGCTGCACGACGGGGGGGTGGGGGTAAGGTGGGATTTGCCGTGCTGTGGTCTGAGCGGGCCTGGGGTGAGTTTTCTTGCAATAAAGTGTGTCGGTAACTGCCTCCGCTTCGCATTACTCAGGGGGGGTGGGGGGGCTTCCTGCCCTGCTCTGGGACAGCACAGATCCCTCCTGGCTTTCCTGCCAGAACCGTTCTCAAAACGTCCTTCCTGTCCTTGCCGTTTCTTCTTCCGCTCATGATCTTAGATCCGATTCTGCAGGAGGGTTTATCAGTAGCCACATTTGCAAGTATGGCCACCAAGAATCATAGAATCCTGGAATGTCAGGATTGGAAGGGACCTTGCAGGTCATCTAGTCCAACCCCCTGCACTCTGCAGCAGCATAGCCGAAAGATAGCCCTATGACATACCCGAAAGAGGGTCATCCAGCCTCCGCTTGAAAACGCCCAGCGAAGGAGCCTCCACCACCTCCCGAGGCAGTCTGTTCCACTGCTTGACCACTCTTACAGTCAGGAAGTTTCCACTGGGATTTAGCTGGTGTCAACCCCCTTGTAATTTCCACCCGTTAGATCTAGTCTTGCAATCGGGAGCAAGAGAGAACAGACCTGCTCCGTCTTCTACACGACAGCCCTTCAGATACTTGAAGACTGCAATCATGTCCCCTCTAAGCCTTCTCTTTCCCAGGCTAAACAGACCCGACTCTTTCAGCCTTTCCTCGTAAGACTTGGACTCCAACCCTCTCACCGTCCTGGTTGCCCTCTTCTGGACACGCTCGAGCTTGTCAACATCCTTCCTAAAATGTGGTGCCCAAAACTGGACACAGGACTCCCGGTGAGGCCTGACCATAGCAGAATAAAGTGGAACATAAAAGGGAGAACCCGCACCTCAGGAGAAGTCAAGGACACAGCAGGAAGATCCACACAGGGAGAAGAAGGAGATGGATTTATACCCCGCCCTTCACTACCCGAAGGAGTCTCAAAGCGGTTTACAATCCCTTTCCCTTCCCCTCTGGAGCCCCATCCTTCCCAAGCAAAGGCAAAAACGTGTGAGCTGGAGGCTACAAAAGTGAGCTAGCTCTCACTAACTCAGCTCAGAGGGAACACTGTCTATGAGGTAGGTGGGGCTGAGAGAGCTCTTTCAAGCACTGCTCCTGAGAGAACAGCTCTGAGAGAACTTGTGACTGACCCAAGGTCACACTAACAGCTGCATGCGGAGGGCTGGGGAATCCAACCCGGTTCTCCCAGATTAGAGTCCATGCTCCTAACCCCTGCACCAGACTGGCTCTCTGGAGAGAGAGAAAGAGGGGGGTGGGTGGGTAGAGTGCCCTTTAGGTACCCAGAATCCTCCTTTCTTTTTCCTCTTGGCTGCAGCTCCTCCAGAGAGCTTTTAGATCTCTGGCGCCCCTTGTCTTCCAGGCTGAGTGCCCTGATCTGGCAGCTACTTGTATGGCCTCCTCAATGGTCCTTGCTGTCTTCTCCAGGTGCACCGTGTGGGGTGTGTGTGTGTGTGCGTGCGCATGCTCTCTTCGGTGTCGTGGTTGAGTGCGCGGACTCTAATCTGGGAGAACCGGGTTTGAATCCTCACGCCTCCACTCACAGCTGCTGGATGACCTTGGGCAAGCCATGGTTCTGGCACAGCTGTTCTTGGAAAAGAGCAATTTCTGTCAAGAGCTCTCTCAGCCCCACCTGCCTCACAGGGGCAATGCTCCCTCTAAACTGTGGAGTCCTGTGAGCAAAAATCCTACTTTGTGAGCTGCTGGCATCAAAGTTGTGAGCCAGCGATTTGGCTGCTGCACCAATTAGTTTGCTCTGGAGCCCTCCTTCCTGAGCGAAGGCAAAAAACTTGTGAGCTGTATGCTAAAAGACTGAGCTAGCCCACACTAACTCGGCTTAGAGGGAACACTGCTCACAGGGTGTCTGTCGGGTTGTGGGGAGGGGGAGGGAAAGGAGATTGTAAGCCGCTCTGAGACTCCTTTGGGGAGTGAAGGGCCATGGGGTATAAATCCAATCTCCTCTTCTTCTCCTCCTTCTCTATTTATGCAAGGGAGGCCTGATCTGGGTTAGCTTTCTCCCCCCCACCTTTTTGTGTATGTATGGTGGGGGGGGGAGGCTTTTGACAACCCACCTCCTCAAAAGGTTTCTGCATAAATGTAGCCAACTTGGGATAAGAGGACAGGCATAAGCGACGGGAATAACACGACGGAGCATACTGGCTCCATAGGGAGCGGTATTGGAACCAGTGGTATTTAATTCTTAAACGATTTTGGGAGTGGGAGGGAGCAGGGCTGTGTCCCAGGTCTGCAGAAACCAGATTGTTCAAGGTGGTGAACACCGAGGCATATTGTCAAGCGCTCCGGCGGGATTTTTCCAAGTGGGTGGGTGGGTAGAAGGATTAGAGGGCCAGCGTGGGGTAGTGGATAGAGTGTCGGTGCTGGGATCGGGAAGAACCAATCCCCCCTCCCCCCCCCCGCCAAGGGAGCTCGCTCTAGGAGGCCTTGGACCAGGCACACCGTCTCAGCCTCACCCACAGGGTTGTTGTGAGGATACAAGAGAAGATACAACCTCACAGGGTGGTTGTGAGGATACAAGAGAAGAAAACGATATAAGCCACGGTGGGCCCCCACTGGGGGCAAAGGCAACATAGAAAGGAATAAAATAATGTGGCAAATGAAACTCCATATGGGTAAGGATGTGACGATGTACATTGGAGCAGTGTTCCCTCTAAGCTGAGTCGGTGTGAGCTAGCTCACAGTCTTTTAGCCTCCGGCTCACACATTTTTGCCTTAGCTCAGGAAGGGTGGCTCCAGAGCAAACTGGTTTATGCAGCAGCAGAATCACTCGCCCACAGCTTTACTGCCAGTAGCTCACAAAGCAGGATGTTTGCTCAGAAGACTCCACAGCTGAGAGGGAGCATTGCACTGGAGTAAACTGTCCTTTGTAAAAATATATGCTGTTGGGGGTCTGAACTGGCAGAAACTGAAAGAAGAGATCTTGGGGTTTTAGTGGATCGCTTGATGAAAATGGCAACTCGGTGGGGGTGTGTGTGTGTGAAAAAAGGCAAACTCCATGCTGAGGCGTACGAGGGAAAGGATGAAGAACAGCCTGTATTGGAATACCCTTCAGTGGGAAGGTAACAGCGTTCCATGTGCCTTGGTGTTTAGTCATGTCGGCCACATGACCACAGAAATGTCTTT